TATACTATACTATACTATACTATACTATACTATACTATACTATACTATACTATATATAGTATTTGTATTTCATGAAATATGTTATTGCATTTGGCTCGCAGCCCTCAGATAGATTTTCATTTTGGGGAAAATGTTTGAACAGCCTTGATACATGTGTATAAATTGAAACAGCTAGACTAGTGCATCCTAAATTTAACATAAATTAATTATTCTAAAAAGACAGATTTTCTGTAATAACATTTATTAGGAGGTGACCACCCCAAAAAATGCATAAATGACTAATTGCTCAATTTAAAGCAATACTTTTACTTTTAATACTTAGACACTTTAATACTTTTATTTAAGTAATATTCCTAAAGGAGACTTCAACTTTTACCAATGTATTTTGATAAGATACTTGTAACACTGATGCTTTGCTTAGAAAACTATTTCACATTCAGTGTTTTTAAAAGAAGCCTTATAATTGTCATATGTTGTCTATTTGTTTTGTCTCAAAAGCCAGTATTCTTTCTTTCTTTTAATATTTTAATATTTTTTAAATAGATTTAGTGTGCACAGCCTTTGCTCCTCCTAATTGTCACGTCTGTCCCCCCTGTTTTCATATATCAGGGATGGGCAAACTTAGCCCTCAAGGGCCGCTATGCATGTTTTACTTGTTTTTCCTGCTCCTAACACACCTGATTCGGGGATTGATTTACTTTTTCAAGTCCTGCAGAAGCTGATTAATCAACCATTCATTCAAATCAGGTGTGCAGAGCAGAGAAACAAGGGAAACAAGCAGGATAACAGCCCTCAAGAGCTAAATATGCCCACCTAAGTTATGTCTTATATCTTTGCATGTGATTGATCAAAGGCCAGAGGAAGGAAAACATATTGGGAGCCAGCTCACATTTGATGGGAGGCAGCTCTTCTGATTCACAACAAAGCATCATTTATCACCATAAGTCAATATCTATAAATTCCACTATCATATTGTTTGTAGTTGGTATCGTTACATATTGTCTACAGTTCAAATACAAAAAAGTAGGACTTATAAAGTGTAAATGTGGCAACCAACGTTTTATTTATTTTACATATCTGGTATTCTACAGCATAATAAGAACTAATTTTTGTTCTTCATAGTGCCCTGTTACTTTGTTGTCACCTAGAGACAAATATAAAATGAACCATAAATGGAAACTGCTAAGAATGTTTCAACAAATACAAATTAGTTATGTTGGTATGATGAGTGCTTTTCGGTGACAGAACTTAAATGACAACTTTCCACAATATATTGAATTGAATTGTTTATCCACAAGCACAATGTTGGGTCATAAAGGTTATCCCTGTGGATGACGATGCACAGGGATAATAATAAGTCAGAGTTTGCTTGCAGTGCAACTGTCTTTTGTTTAATCTGTTTCAATCTAAATGAAAACATTAGTTAGTAAAGCTATTGTCTGCACTCACAGGCATTTTGAAGCCAACATTGATGCTTGTAATGACGCATATTGACCGCTAGATGGCAAACTATAGACCAAAAAAACTGCAGCTTTGAAGTCCTCCAATTGGAGGAAGTGCTCAGCTGTGAATTGCTTCCTGACTGCAGATGACTCAGTTTGATGATGTGGGAAACCCACAAGTATTGTCTTATCTTGATTTCCATAGTATTTCCTTTAATTTTACAGTAAAGGGGCAGGACAGGTTGAACAAATATGCAGGCTATTTAAAGAACATCCTGTCCCTCCTGTTCTCTGATTAAATGTGAGGATTATCATCTTTTTAGTTTTCACAACAACCCATTCACAGGGTATATTACATATCACTGGTGGAAATTAACCATTTTTTTACTATTAGCCTATTATTTAGCGCGGATTGTACTTAATAAATACTGTAATCAGTCATATCCCTTCATAGAGAGTAGAAAGTACATTATTTTAAAATGTGTTTGTCAGTGCTACCTTTACATCCAACAATAATAATTTCAACAAACTGGCAATTAAATATAGAAAAGACAAAACATACTGACAAAGCAAAAGACATCAAAACCCCCCCCGGGTCTCTGTAGGTTTTTAGTGAGCTTTAAGCTAACTCGAGTTAGCATCGTCTGCCTCCATGATTCAGGTACGTTTCGGTGTGTGACCATGGAAACGACTGAATGACAGTCCCCCTGAAGCCAGCCAATCATCGAGCGCGCTGAGGTGTCAGGTTACTCCCAGTCAAGCCCACGCGAGCTAGCAGGGGGCGGGACTATTCCGCTCCTCCACAGATATGGGAACTTGGTTTCGCTGGAGGAGAACTCAAAAAGTGTGGTGGAGCGATTAAACTTGGCTTCATAGCAAGGAGAGGGTTCTTTTTTTAAATTTCATTTCCCCCTTCATTTTACAGACGGCTCGTAAAGCACAGCGGACTCTTTTAGCGGAATGCGCTGCGGAAAGGTAAACCTGTTGCCCGCCTGCTTCGCAGTGTAGCCAACTATCCAAGATGTTGCTTTGTGGATGGGATGGCGTCTGGTGCCGTTTGGGTGCGCACTCATAGTCTCGACGAAACATTCCCCTCTTAGTTCATTTTCCAACTCGTCTAACCTGGTAAGTTTCTTGTGAACTAGATAAAAGTTGGTTTTAAAGAAAGAAAGAAAAAAAACAAACAAACAAAAAAAGTGTTTTAACTGGGAAACCTGAGGCGCTGGGCCATTTAAAAGGCACCTAATTTATTAAGACAACGTTGATTAGAGTGGAAGCTAGCTAGCTGAGAAACTACTAACCAGTACCAGTACCAGTACTATTAACAGCTCAGACTTACAGGTGTCCATTGCATCTTTTTTGGGGTTTGACCACTAGCTGTATTTTTCTTTTGGTTTAAGGAGGGCGGAGATACCACAAAAATAACAGAAACTGTGTTGGGTAATTGTTTTCAAGATCCACAACTTCTTGCATCGTTTGTTAAGCTGTTTTTTTAATCAAAATTTACTATATTTTAACCCACATTTTACTTTGTCAACAAAACTTTCAGTAACTGAAGGTTCTATACATTTTATGGAATGGTGTAAAGCAGAGGTTCTCAAACTGGGGTTCCAGGACCCACCAGAGGTCCACGAGCTATAACTTGGGGGTCCTCAAAATTTGTAATAAACTGTTAATTTAGTTTTTAATTAAAAAAAACTTCGTAAATGAATAAGGGGAACAATGCACCAGTCAAATAAACTTACTCAACCAAATAAACAGTGATTCTCATGGAATTTAGGCATTAAAATGGCAGTAAAAAGGTTTAAATCGGCATGAGGGGGTCCCTGGAATATTTTCACCTCCTATAAGGGGTCCTCACACCCAATAAGTTTGACCACCTTTTCTCATTACCATTGAATGTACTAGTAAAGTCACCATGTAACTGCACTGAAGATGTAAACTGTGATTCTGTGTGGAAATCATCTTAAGTGGTCCAAGATGGAGGGAGGGAGGGAGGTGATGGGAGCAAAATCACGGGCAAGATAAATGAGGAAAAAGTGTGTTGGGTTTCTGTGTTGGGGAAGAGGGGAGGTTTGCAGTGAAGTTTTGCAAAACCATGCTGTGCATGTCACGGTGCTCATAGCAACCCTGTGATTAACAGAAATGGAGCGGATGAGGTCCAGACCAAATTGAGAAATGAGGGCAAAACTGGGCTGATAGTCAGTGAAATGATGATGGCTTTGCTTCCCTGGAAAAGCTCGCTTCCACTGAAAAGTAAAAGCATTGGATGGTGTTTACTGGTTTTGTTAGTCCGTTCTGTTTTTAACTGGAAGATACCAGGTTCTGTGTTGTGCTAGTCAGTATTCCATATAATCTGGGAGAAGCACATCAGCTAAACAAATGAAATGAAAACCAGCCTATGGGTTTTTCCTATTATCATGAGTCACTACTGCTACATTCTTGCTACTGTTTTCTCCACAGAAAACTACTACCCAACAGAGAAAATGACTGCAGTTTTGCAAAAATGTAATAATTTGTTTTATGTAGAGCTTTGCTGATGTTAAATTTTGACCCATGGAGAGACAGTGCCCATCAATCTACGCTACTAAAAAGTACAGGATAGAAAATCACAAGAATATAGCAACATTCGGTAGTTTTATCCCATCTCTTTACATTGATCTTAAGCATTGTATATCAGGCAGACAACACACAATAAAAACTTTAAACGCATTGGTGAATTTATGTAAGTGCAAACAAAGATGATACACATCAAACATTAAGCAATTAAGTTACTGCTTGAAAATGTATGATCCCCAGTAACTTTAACCTTCAAGTTGTTTTGATGGCATACTTGACATCACAGGCCTGAAATGTTCTGGTAGTGCCTTGGAGGGTAAAAAACATACTTGACAACTTTTAGTTCCAGCCCAGCAGCATAGTGGCATTTTGCTCTTTGGCACCATGTTTTACACCAGCAGCTGTATAATAAAACACTTAAGATGAGTTGCTCACTTTGATGTCAATGGCCTTTTACTCTGATTAAATCTGAAAGCACTTTAAACAGATCATGTGAACAACTCAAGACAATGTTATTTGAGAAAACCAGGAAACAAGGCTGCAGCCTCTCTGTAAAAAAATTGCTGAAGTTGAGGGTGTGTAATCATTTTAAGATTACAGTTACATTGACATCTACCTGTAAAGATATATAGAGGCTATATTTGCTTCAGAAGTTTGTGAATCAGAGCTGGTTAAGTTATGTACACTAATAAAACCATAAAACCACTGAAGGGAATGTTGGAAAAGTCAACAGTGTTTATGCAGAACGTGGATTCTAATATTAAATTTTTGCCATGAATATACACACACATACATATAAATTTGAGTCAAAATCTAGTAAAAGTAGTTGTTTAGGCTGCTTTTAATGCCACTGTATCCTTGTTTTATTGGTGTATTAGCACGTAAACCAGCAACCACTAGGTTATGGTCTCTACGATGTTGTGGATCAGCAAGTTTAACCACTGCTCAATATATTCAAGTTAACGCTCTGCTTACTCAATATTACAACTGCAAGATTTTCATCTTTTTTTATTATAAAATATAAAATACTGCAAAAAATCTTCCTTGAGATTTTAACTTGCCAGGTTTAAAATCTATCAACATGATTTCTAAATATCAGTGAATAAAAATGGTCAAAATGCTCGACTTCAAACTTGGTTTCGCTACAAATAGGCAAATGCTTCAATTCACTTATAAATCTCAGCTCATTAAGGCTTGGTGGGGGCACTCTAATACTTGTGTACATGTACAAACTGCACAGTTTACATTCACTATACAATTTACTGTCCTCACCCATCATTCACCACCAAACAGGAAGTGGCTATAAATCTCAAAGTCACAAACTGATCTTCCTTAAATTGTAGTCCTTAAAGGAGACATATCATGCTAAATGCACTTTTTTTGCATTTATAAACTGTTTTTTGTGCAATTATAGTGTCTAGGGCTGTGTCCAGAACGACAGGCCGGGTCCTCCGGAGGACCCAGACTACCCGGTCGCGGCGGGCCGGGTCCTTGGTAGACCGGGAAGACCGGAAAATAAGAGGCTGTGAATTTGGACGGTCTAGCCTCCCCTCCTTACCCCGGCGTACGTCATGTCACCTAGCAACTGTGACGACGCTAAACAAGCAAACTTAAATCAAAACTAGAAAAATATCAATACATTAGCATTTTTAAGATCACAAAACTGTCAAATTAACTTTAAAGTATCATTTGAAGAACTAATTGACCCGTTGTAGGT